AAAATACAGAAAAAAAAGAAAATACAGAGGAGCCAGGGAAATAGCTCGTAAAATAAGTGCTTGTCTTGCAAGCACAAAGCCCTGAGTTCAATCCCTGGTTTTAGGGAAGAAAAAAAAAAAAAAGACAAAATACCCTGCAGTTTTGAAGATACTATTTTCTTGATAACAGTAAAACTACAAAAAATTATTTGGTTATACTTGAATTTCATTATTAAATTCAAGTCAAATTCCATTACAATAAGGACTGTCCAAATTCTTTTACTGCCCTAGAATTTATTACATTACATATTATTGGAAGCAAGCAGACCATCAGCTGAGCCCTGGGAATGATGGGGTTACACAATTTTTGATGATGTGTAGTTGACTTAAACACAATTTAAAAGGATCACAGTGCTCTTTGGAAAGATTAGACTTCATGTATACTGAGAAGGGGCAAGGAAAAGGGTAGTGAGAAGGAGGAAGCAAAAAGAAAAGGAAGGAAAAACATCAAAGAAGCAAGTTGGGTTTTTTTTTTCCCCTATAATTTTATGGAGAAACAAATAGCAATGAGACAGTTTCAAACCAAATTGGTAGGACAGTTTCAATAACTAACACATGGCATACATTCTTCCTAGTGGTTAACTGCTGTACAAGATGTGGACATGATATCCTATTTACAAACACCATTAGAACAAATCCTCTATTCATTAAGAGAATGTAACTAGGGGCTGGAGAGATGGCTCAGTGGTCTAAAGCACCTACTTGAAACAAGCTTGGCAAAGCACAACGACCGCGGTTCAATCCTCCAGCACCACATGCCAGCCAGCCCCGCCCCCTGGTGGGCTGAGCTGGCCACACACACACACACAATAAATAAATGTAATAAATAAAAAAAAAAATTAAAAAAAAAAAAGAGAATGTAACTATATATCTATCCTAACCATTTTGAATATACAGATACAAATGGACATTCATCTGTATCCCCTTTTTTGGTTAAGTTCCGTTATTTGAATATTATAGGTGTGTTAACTCAGCAAAATATTCTAAAAGAGTCCAGTAGTCCATAAGAGTATTGGGTCTTCCGCTTCACTGGCAATGTCAGAAATTGTTGACCTGACTCCCCTACAGTTCAACATAACAGCATGGCTTTACTTCTTATACTTCATTTTTATGCTTTTCTGCTGGATGGTTAAGATCAAGGTAAAGCAGGACCTATGCAACAAGAGTTGTAGCTTTGGGGTCTGAGAAGGTCAGTGAGAACCCCTCAGGATTTATCCTGAGATTCTGTACCTCAGATTGTAGATCCTTTGTCAGTGTCAGCCATGTGGATGAGTCATGTCCATTGCTTGGCCAATGTGCTCTCTGTGAAAGCCTGAGAGAGTGTTTTCTCTCCATGTGACTCTCCTTAGGCACACTCTACATCATCGATCACTCTCCTCTTTGGCACCATAATCTCCTTGATCAGAAAATTTGGGACACTACCGAGTTACATGACGTTACAGTACAAGTTCTCATATGTCCTGAGTCTTAATTGACCTTGGAAGGCTAGGGCCAAAATGTTGGCTTTCCTTGCGGCCCTCCTTTTTCTCTAATTTTGGTCTGCAAACTTAGGTTGTTAACCCTCAGAAGAGAAGTTTAGCAAGTTCTTTTTTTAACTACCAGAACGAACAAGTAGCCAGCCCTTCCTTTTGGTGAAAGGCACTGGGAATGTTCCCTGCCCCCACTCCTGTTCCCTGGGCTTACACACTGGCTCAGAGCAGCTGCTAGAGATCAGCAAAGGCCGGTGGTCCCGCTGTAGCCACCCACATACAGTATTCTACAAGGCTGCTGGTCCCACATCCACAACCTACATCCAGGAGTCTACAAGGCTGGTGGGCACAGGAGCACTCAGAGCTCTTGCCCTACCACCCAAAGAGAGCAAAAGAAACTCCAGAGTTAAGATCTTTTGCTGGTAGGGGAGCAAACACTCACATACATTTAGGGATCAGTTTTCTTTACACAAGTTTCTGTTGACAATGAGTTCAAAAGGGAGCTACCTGGTGCTTCCTTCTTTTTTTCCCCCTGGACAGGGGGATCAAACTCAAGACCTTGCACTTGCCAGGCAGGCACTTAGGCCACTAAGCTATCTCCCTGGCCCTGGTGCTTCCTCCTCCTTTTGGCGGTACCAGGGATTGAACTCAAGACCTTGCACTTGCCAGGCAGGCACTTATGCCGCTGAGGTATATCCCTGGTCCCCATTTTTTTATAAAACCTTATTTGTTATAGGGTCTCATACACAGCTAGGATTCATAGTGATTCTTCTTTCTCAGCCTCCCCAGCACTGGGATCACAGGTGTGTGCCGCCTTGCCGGGTTCAGTGGCCGGCTCCACATTGAGCTGGCCAAGCAGGCCCAGCAGGTGGTACTGGGATCGAACCCAGGTGCTTGAGCTTCCCAGCCAGGCATTTAGACCACTGAGCTATCACCTCAGCCCTGGTGCTTCCTTCTTAAGGAGAGGGACGTTCCACTCCTAAAAGGCTCCCGATACCAGATGGTGCTTCAACTGCAAACTCAGTTGCCCAGTCCTCTTGAGCACTCCCTAACTTTTGTGTAGGAATAAAGAAAATTACTTGCTCATTAGAAAGAGAATAAATACCTCCATAAATAAGTGCAACCATTTCACATCTGATTTCCTGAGCTGAGAGAAGAAACTGGTTTTCAGCAGTGTCTTCATTATTTGCAAATCACTGATTGGCATCTACAATATATCAAATAAATAACTATTTTAAAGACCAAGTGTCATGTTTCCTGGTAAGCATCAAAAATGAACATTATCTACCCTCTTCATCCAGTTTATGGAATTTAGCAAGAGAATAGGTTTACTGGCTATCTAACTGCTTGATACACTGTGAGGACATTTTCTGTGGCAATACCTTTATTACCGAGGTTAGATAAATCCCCCGTCTTCTCAGGGTATTAGCTTTATTTTTGTTTTTGTTTTGTTTTGTTTTGTTTGCGGAACCAGGGATTGAACTCAGGCCCTTGCTCTTGCCAGGGAAGTTTTATTCCACTGAGCCATCTCCCTGGCCCCAAAGGGGCATTAGTATTTAGAGTTACATATTCAATAAGAAGGATCCAAAATGAGTATTTCTGAGTTAATTGAAATATGGCGAGAAATCATGAAATGAGGAGTGATCAATATACCCAGTATTTTTCTCATTCCAGGAAAATAAAGAAACAAATCTTCCAATTCTATTTATCATAAGCCAAGATGAAAACTAAACCTCCTATGTACAACTTCATAATATTGGCCACTTTTAGATACACATCTAAAGATCAACAGGTGTGCTGGTACACTTGGGAAGGGAGATTAAGGCTGGCAGGTCACTGAAAGTTCAAGGCCAGCCTGAGGTACATAGCAAGACCTCAAAAAAAAAAAAAAAAA